GATCCCATTATCAATAACAATTATAGGATTTTTCTATTCGTCGAAGTCTCATGAAATAACAAAACCAATGTTTGTATATACTATATAAAAACGTGGGCTTTCCTCGAAAATTAAAGATTATAACTAAATATGTGGTCAATCGGTTTTTTTATGAACGGTTTTGTAAGTAATTTCATCAAAATTGAAAAAAATATCTCCCAATTTGATTTGTAGTAAATCAAGTTGATTGATAAATACAATATATGAATTTCAGTACAAATCCAACCCTGTGCCAAACAACAGCCAAAAAATATTATATTTTGAAGTTCTCGGCATTTTAGTATGATTTCTGCTGAAAAACAATGTATTTCGTTATTACCAGCTGTTCCTTTATAAGACTTTGTTGCCAAACCAGAGAAAATAATCAACAAATATTAGATATTAATCTGCGAATGAGCAAAGTTTCTTAATATGTTGTTTTGAACAATGTCATCTCGAATTCTTTATATTCTGGCGAAAATATGAAATGGGAGATGCCGATAACTAAAGCACATTCTAAAGCGTGAGTATCGAATATTCTGTGTATAGTAAGACCATGCCAGAAAGTTCTAGGATTGAGTACGAGCCAACGATGAGGTATATAAGAGAACGGCCAATGCAACGTTAGTCAGTTGCAAAGTGAACTCGGTTGGCGAAAACATCGATACAGAGTACAGCGGAATAAACTGTGTGTTTATAGAGAGTTCAAAATAGTAGAGTGTTGGAATTGTAAAATATGTCTTCGTGTATAGTAAACCGAATTGTTAGTTATTTAGTAATAAATAAACGTTGGCTAAGTTCTTTACAATTGAGAAATTGTAAAACAAATCTTTGCATATTTTATTCAACAATCCAGTTAACGAACTCAAAGGATTGGTGAAATCATCGATTTAACAATACCGTTTCAATATAAGTGTGAGGTTACATATTATTACGTATAATGAAGCTGAAAATGTATGAGAAGCGGTCACTAATTCTGAATGGTTTTTGAGGTTTTTAGAGTTATCTCGAGATTAAATTATACAATGATGTACAGCTGCTGGCAACTAATTAGAAACGCTCTCTTCTTGTAAGTGCTGGTTGTGCATAATAGTAAAATTGCAAATTTACTGTTATATTTTCTTATTACTCAAAGCCCCCAGATTTGTAGTCGTGCATTTCAAGTACGATTATTTCTTTCCCACTTGTGTTGTCGTAGTAATAATATTACTAATTTTTGGTCATTCAAAATTTGTATCTCAAGATTTGTAATGGGAAAAAGCAGCGACTTTACACCTGCGTTACGTAACGCTATTTTTCACCTTCGTAGAGCTGGAAAGTCATACAATCAAATTGCGGCGCAAGTCAAATGCTCCAAGAAGATGATTTTTAAAGTCTTAAAGCATATCGAGAATTTTGAAAGTGTTGCAAATGACGCACGCAACAAAGGCCGCGGAAAACTTCAACAGGAATAGACCACAGTGCAGCAGTGATCTCGCGAAGAGAGCCAAAAAAAAGTTCCTCGGACATTCAACGTAAAATTCAGCATGAATTCACTGTTCAAATATCGAAGAGAACAATCCCACGGCATTTGGTCGAATTTGGACTTCATTTAAAAGCAGCACGCAAGAACCCACTTCTGATCAAAATCCAAAGAAAAGGACATATAGACTTTGCCTGTTTTCATTGGTGTTTAAACTAAACCAGACGAAGTATGGAACTATGAAACGAAAAATAATCGAATTGGTCCTGATGGTTGGAGATATGTCCGACGGCCCATTCAACAAAAATTTAATCCTCGTGATGTTCTCCGCGTATAAAAGCATAGTGGATGATCAATCGTGGTATGGGAAAGTTTTTTTCTTTAATGGTGTTGGTCCACTCTATGGGATAAATTGAAATTTAAATAAGGAGAAATATTGGATGAGTGCATAAGTTCGTGCCCGATTCCGCTGGATGCCGTTCGAATCGTTTGAGAGTGGCGCTCGTGAAAGAAATATATACATATTATATATCGTTGGAAAGGTGACAGTCCGAACTGTAAATCAAGCATAAAATAACTTCATTTTGATTTGAGTTGCTTAGTGAAAAGACGCATGGAAGATGGACAACGAAAAAGATCATATGCGTCATATTATGTTATACGAATTCCGCAAAGGAAAAACAGTAGGCGCTGCAACTAAAGATATTCGCGAAGTTTATTTGGACCGTGCTCCAGCACTCCGCACAGTAAAGAAATGGTTCGCGAAATTTCGTTCTGGAGATTTTAACCTCGAAGATCAACCTCGCAGTGGACGGCCTTCTGAGCTTGATGACGATGTTCTAAGGACTTTAGTTGCGAATAACTCACGTATTTCGACGGAAGAGGTTGCCAGTGAATTGAACGTCAACAAATCAACTGCGTTTCGTCGTTTAAAAAAGGTTGGGTACACTTTGAAGCTCGATACATGGGTGCCACATCAGTTGAGTGAAAAAAACAAAGTGGACCGTATGTCAACAGCAATTTCTTTGCTTCGACGGATCAAAAACGAACCTTTTTTGGATCGGCTCGTGACTGGTGATGAAAAATGGATCCTGTACAACAATGTTCAACGCAAAAGAACATGGAAACAGGCACACGAAGGGGCGGAACCGATGTCGAAAGGTGGATTGCATCCGATGAAGGTACTGCTGTGCATTTGGTGGGATATCCGAGGCGTGATCTATTTTGAGCTCTTGCCAGCTGGAGAAACGATCACTGCCAACAAGTATTGTCAGCAATTGGTCGAATTGAAGAAAGCAATTGATGAAAAACGTCCGATTTTGGCCAATCGCAAAGGAGTTCTTTTCCATCATGACAACGCCAGGCCACATGTTGCAAAACCGACCCTGGCCAAACTGAAGGAGATGAATTGGGAAATCATGCCGCATCCCCCATATTCACCCGACATTGCACCTTCTGATTATCATTTGTTTCGATCGCTGCAGAACAATTTGAATGGAAAAAAATTTAAAAATGTGGAAGACGTCAAAAACCACCTGACACCTTTTTCAACGAGAAACTGCGCGATTTCTATGAATCAGGTATCCGTAAATTGGTTGAACGTTGGGAGTGGATTGCCGAACATGATGGCGAATACATAATTGATTAATAAAAGCGCTTTCTTCAAAAAATTTCATTTTCAGTTTGCACTTGAAATCGGGCACGAACTTATGCACTCATCCACTCCGTCGACATACTAGAAAATGCCATGGGTGCCTTAGGCTGAGGAGAATTCGCCTATTTTATGGAAATTTCAACAGGATAACGATCCAAATAACACGGCAAAGTTAACAAAAAATTTTGTTGAAGAATATTCCAGCAATATTTTAGAATGGCCATCTTGCAGAGGTATGAACGACATGGCAAGCAATGTCAGTGGCGCGCTGTCGATATCTTATAACAATCAATGCGAAATCGGTGTGAGGCAGTGAGGGCTATGCAACTAAAGACTAAAAAAAAAATACTAAAAAACTAAAAGTAAACATATTATTTTAATATCACTAGTTTTTCTGATAAAATATTTTCGTTTCTTCTTAGATGTCGCATTCAATTCATGGATTTCACAGGTTTTTGTATAAAAAAATATCTAAAAATGAATTTTGAATAAATTGCTTTGAATATGATTTTAAGTTTTGTATATGTTTAAATAACATTAGAAAAGAAATTATAAAAATGCGTACTTTAATGTGCAAAAAGACCATTCAGTTTAAGATAAGCAACGTTTCTAATTAGCTGTCAACAGCTGTATATATCCCTATGCAGTTATTGTAGATTTTTAATTAGCAAAATTATTACTAATTTTAACAGCGATATTTTCTAAACAGAAATACTAACAAAATTCAATTTAAGAATATTAGTAATTATTGCTTAGAATTTTTCTTAATCGCTGTTTTGCAATTACCGCTCAACTTTTAATGTGAATAATTTATAAATAAAACATTTTAAAATAAAATGTACTTTAAAGCCATTTTAAGACAGTTTCGCATAAAAATATATCCACAACAGCGCTTCGAGCGCTTGAGCAAATACTACAAAAATTAATTTTAAATCGTGCAAAAATTCAAACCGTTAACTTGTGTATAAAATAAACCAATAAGTGCTCTCTGTAAATATGTATCCTACGTATGTGTAATCTAAAATATGAAAAAATGTGAAATGTATGCATGTAAATATGTAAATATAACAAAGATGCCTTCCCTCTACAATAAGTGTTATGCTGCAACTACCCATTTTACTCACCTTCCGTCCATAACAGCCGACTGGGAGAGCGATTTGCATACACGAGTTAGTTATCGACGCTACTGAGAGCGGCGAAATGTTGCCAGCTGCCAGTGCGTTTGCACAGTTTTGAACAAATTTATAATTTTCGTCAATAAATTTCATAATTTATATTTTCAGATTTCAAAATTTAATATTCATAATTTAATATTTTCGAATATAAACGCAAGTCAAATAAAAATGAGCTATAGGATAACAAATAATTAGTTTCGAATTTAGTTTTCATTTTTTTAATTTTTTCTTCGATTATTTAATATTAGTTTAAAAAAGTCACTACTGGCAACATTTTATAGCCGAGCCGGTTTTACGGAAAAAATCAAATCGCCGCTGGTTTCTACGGGACAACCGTCAGTACGTTGACAACTTTGTATTACTCTCATAAGATGGATTGCTAAGGACGGTTGGTATGTGAGATGGGTAGTTGTAGCATTACAGCAGAAGTTGCTTGCACGATAAAAAAAAAAACAAAAAGAAAACGAAACACGCCAAAACAGTAAATACGTACAGTAGTATATTCGACAAACGAAGTAGTGGCAAAAAATACAAAATATAACTTAGGTGAATATCGATAGAATTAAATATAATGGTGTTTTCAGCTTATTACTCTCAATTAATTTCACCACCAATTTGTTTATTTGTGATTATTATTATTATTTTTTTTTATACAAAACCAATAATGCTGGTAATTATTAGGGAATCTAACCTCGGTTTCGATGATTTTTTCTATGTATTCAACAGTTCGTAATTGAGGTCGTCCTGTAACAGGACATGGCACCTCTTCGGTACGTCGCACAATTTTCTCATCGAGTATCTTTTCACGTTCACGTATTATAACGGGACCATCGCTTGATTTAATTGCTATTTTTGGAAAAACAATCTTTTTAGCCTGCTACAAATAGATAAATATGAGAAAAAAATTATGATCATGAAATTTTATTAGCAAAAATGATTTACACCGAATGTATGTGAATTTTATGATTTTCAATTGCAAAAAAAAAAAAAAAAATTAATCTCACTTTTAATGTGCAAATGTGAAATATTTTCCACTACATCGCATTGTATACAGTACCTAATAAATAAATCACTTTCAGTTAATGCGCCTATCTAATATTAACACCCACTCTTGAAAACATTCGCTGGAAAAATGGCGTTTTCAAATCGGAATTATAATATACATACATATATAAAATTGTTACATACGACGAGCAATTAAGTCAAATTCCTCAATTAGTCCAAATATATGTATGGCCGTATGTATAAGTATGTTATTAGTCGCAAACAAAATTTAATGTTAGTTCTTAATTTATGTATTGTTTAACAACATATCGTATTAGAGAATAATATATGCAAAAAAAAAACAAGCACCATTAAATAATTAATTATTCATTTTATGCAGGAGGTTACGACAACATGTAACAGACCATTCATTAGTTCAAGCGAGACTATTACGAGATGTATTAGATATCCATTAGACTGCGGTGGGAGTTTTAAGGAGCTTTTTTATCAATCAATTCAAAAATGGTTATCATGAAAAAGTAGTCTTTGGATTTATTGTAAATAAATACGGAAAATGTCTGGTTGAAATTTTGCATACAAACCTCAGTAGCGGCGGGTGCGCTAAGCAGATCATCTGCGATTTTGTTCATATTCTTAATGACGCTTTGAGCCTCTTGAGCGCCTTGTTCTAGAGAGCGCAAGCGAGCTGCACGCCAGGACGCGCGTTTCTCCGCACTGCAGGTGAATAAGTAAAGATAATATATATTTATTAACATAATATAAATAGTTGTAAAATTTGGCAAATTTCCTAACCTATTTTTAGAGCAAATAAAAGTGGAGGGAAAATAACCAATAACCTTCTACACAAAAGGATGAAAAAAGGATCTCATTCATAGAAAAATGTATAAATATTTTTTTTACAATATTTGCAACAAACAGAAAATATGTTTATGTAGAAAATTAATACAAATGCCGTAACCAATATTTATATATATACAAGTGGTAGGCAAAAGAAATATAAATCATATAAAAGAAAAAAAAAATAACTTAAAAACTAGCTGCGACATATTTAAACAAATGGCGAATTTTACAAAAATATTTTGTGGGTGTTGTGAAACGCGTGCGCTTTTTAAAAATGATCAAAACAAATACTTAGCTATGGATACGAATTTATTTACCTGCACTGGAGCTATATGAAATATATTATTATCTATACACAGCTTCATGATATGACGCAGGAATAATTTTTTTTTTGCTTGCTTATGTGCTGAATTGGGGAAAAATCGGAGGTATAAAAGAAAAAATATGTGCAACCGGAAACATTTTACTACCTAAAATCAACAAATTCAGAAGCGGTCTGTATAAAAAACTGCAGGAAAAATTTATGTTCAAAGCTGCGCAGCAAAATTTTCTAATTATTTTAAAAAGCACTCGCTAATGCAACAAAATAATCTCTGAAAAAGACAAAAAAAAAAATTTTTTTTTAAATCTGAACCCCAAAAACTTTGCAAACAGACTCAGCTGCAGTTCGAAAACTCTACAACTTGTAATTGTATCAAAAAACCAATTGAATGTGAAGCTCCTTATTTCACGCGATTCTGATTTGAATCTTTACTCAAAGTTCCTAAGACTCAAACCGACATAAATTAAAGGGTTTTCCAATAAGAAAGGTCTAAATAAAAATGAAACGATACACGCTTCAACCACGCACTGAAAGTATTAAAATTCATAAAAAAAAAAAAATATTGAAAACCTAGCTCTTGCGGTTCGTAAAACTAAAAAAAGGTTCGGTCATCGTGAAGCACTTTATCGAATCGCAACACAGAAATTGATGGCAAGGAGAGAGCTGTTGAAGCAAATTAGTTATGTGGAGAATAAAACAAGTGCAGGTCGCTCAAGAACAACTGAGAAATTTTCTGCTGTAGCCCAGAAAACCAAGGTTTGTCAATTCCTTTGGAATCGTGCATTCCACAAACGTCATAATAGCGTAATTTAAATAAAGACCTGCTATGTTTTGAGATTTATAAAGTTCAGTTAACACAAGAACCCAAGCTGGCTGATCATCAACAAGGTCGCGTCTTTGCTGATTAGGCCCTTCCAATGAGGAATTTCATCGAAAATTCATGTTGACCCATTTCCACGACGTAGCCATCAGTCAATTAGCAAAACTATCGCATCTGAGGCTCGGAAAACCCAAGAATTATTGTTGAAAAGACTCTCTATCCTCAACGTGTAACTATTTGGTGCGCTTTATTGTCCGGTGAGGGCATTGGACCTTAAATTTTCGAAAAAAAAATGGATCGAGGTCTGATTAATGATTTTTTTATGGCAAAAAATGGATGGTATTAATGTAGACAACGTTTACTTTCAACAAGACGACGCTACGTGAAAAGTTTCCAGACTGTGTGATCTTTCGAAGAGGTGATCGCAACTGACCACCGAGATTCTGTGAGTTAACACCTTGCCACTTCTTCCTTTGGGCCCACATGAAAGGAAAGTCTACGCCAACAGCGATTCAAGACCGCATACAGCAGCCAGTTTGCAATTTGGTGACGAAAAATTTCATAAAAAGGACACGGTCCTGTAAGCATCGCCGTGCTGGCCATTTGGCTGATATTCTTTTAATGGCATATCTTCCGCTTTCAATTGAAATAAACATGCGATCATTTCGCTAAAAAATGCATTTTTTCAATAAATATCAAAATAACACCTCTTATTGTAAGGCCCTGCACTGTTGTTGTAGTAAAAAGGAAAAAAATAGTAAAAATTATTATAATTAACTAGCCGACCCGGCCACACGCCGTTGAGGCTTTCTATATTCTAAAGACTGACAAAAACCCCTTGCTGTATTATATTCCCTGCTATTCAAAGCCCGTCACGTAAATGGCAATCGGATCTATGCTTGAACGTATGCTTGAACGTATAAGAATAGCTTGTTACCCGTAGCCGCAGAATAACACCATTGCGCAGCGACCATACTTACACTCGATGTGGCATAAACAAATTTTGACCAAAATTTTTTGGTTTGAAAAAAGTTCTAGTTGGTGATAGAAGGGCGAAAATTTGGAGTTATATGTATATTGTAATGTGACAGCATAAAAAAATTAAAAAAATTTAAAAAAAATTTGGGGGAACTACCCTTATCACTTAAGGCTGTGAAAAATGGATTTTCTGTTATTGTCAGACCTACCGAATGTGCACAAAAAATTTCACTAAAATCGGTCAAGCCGTTTCGGAGAAGTATCGTGTCAAACACTGTGACACAAGAATTTCATCAGTTTTTTTATTTGTTATTAATTATTGAGACCATTAATTTAAATAATATCTGTCCTTTCTTCTAAGTTGGACCATATAACATATATATTTCAATTTTCATGAATATCAGTTGATTCGTTTTTGAGTTATTTCGGAACATCCACACGGCTAAGGGTTTTTTATATATTATATATAACTGGCGCTTTGTAACCGCTGAAGCGATTTTTCGAACGAGCTCCTCCTCCTGTTTGTGGTTTTGCTTCTTGAAGTTTTTTCAACAAATACTAAGCAGGCTCCGAACGAATAATGGATTTTTTACGAGGAGCCTTTATTTCATGTCCGAAATACACACGGAGAGATAGACATTCCCCGCCGAGAGGCGACCGCAAAAAGAAAATTTAATTTAATTTTTTATTTAAATTAATTTTCCATAACTTTTAGATGTTGATGGCACCAGGATATGAACCCGAGCCTGCCGAATGTCAGTACGCAATGCTAATCACTCGGTTATCGCTGTCGCCATATCAAGATAATGTAAAAGATAATAATTGTAAATGTTTAATGGTGCCCGCTTAAGTACTGATACATTCTTTTATGAATATTAAAAAATTATATTAGCGGACGGAAAATGAATTTTTATTTTGACCATAGGATTATCTCTGACCAAAGCTGACACAGACAAGTGGGGCTATAGAAAGGTTTTTTGGCAGACCCAACAAATATTTCTTCATTTCGCTAAAGAAAAATAATATTTAGTCAATATTTCCGTTGTAAAAAATGTTTTAAAAAGTACTTTGTATATTTTCCAGACAAAATATTTTACTTTCAAATAAGGCATTACTTAACGGACCAGATTCTCATTGAAAGTTCGTGCACCGAAGACCTTTGAAGGAGTATATCATACCCCCGGGGTCTAAGTTTTTCCCCGCCCGTTTTACTAAACTTCATTTTTTGCATTATTTCCTGGGGCGAAACGCATTTTTTGCTTTTCAGCCTAAATCCAAAGTATTTCGGCGCGAATTTGTCAAAATGTAAGAAGATCTAAAAAGTATTTTAATATGTGATATTTGTTTGCAATGGACTTATGTATGGGTATTGCTTGTTTTGATCCGCAACACTTTTCTACCTACTTTTACCAACTTCCTAAAAGAAATTTACCTTTTTCTCTTGCGAGTTTCCAACGCAAAAGAATTTTGGACTTACTTAATCATTGCTTTACTCTTCGACACATTTGGCGGTGACTGCTCACGTTGAACTGCATCGGATGACCGCTCAACCACGTCAACAATAACATCTTCATTCTCCTGCACGCTTGCAGCAGCTGCAGCTGCCGCCTTCATGGCACGCCTCTCCGCATTTGCCGTGCGAATCGGTATGCGACTGGACGGTGTGGTTGGTGATGTTACGTGTTGTTCCTCTTCTTCTTCTGCTTCTTCTTCTTGTTGTTGCTGCTGCTGTTGTAGCTGTTGCTGTTGCTGTTGCAGTAACAATGCAGGTGGCACAACAACTTTTACTTTAGGTTTCGGTAACAGAGATGGCTTTTGACTATTAAGTGCGCGCAACGTCGGAGGTGTTGAAGTGACTAACGGAGCAGCAACAATAACACTTTCAATACTGCTCGCCGTATCCTCGGCCTCATTGAAATCGCTCCCTATTGCGTCGCTATGTTGCCGTTCAGAATCCATAAACTGCGCTACGGTGCTGCTTAGTTGCTGAGTTGTAAAGGTGTTGGAGGTGACGGTGCGTGCAACGGGTACAGGTATTGCTGGTTGCGTTGGTGTTGGTGTTGTTGGTGCAAGTGCCGAATCTACTACTTGAGGTTTAAGGGACTGCAGCATTACTGTGGACTTTGTTGTAGTGGTGGTACGTGGCTCAGTCAAGGATTTAACAAGTGCCGGTGATTTGAATGCAGTCAAGTCTGGCTGAGTAGATGCCACTAGCGGCGGTGGCGATCGTTTTGCTTTTGTCGGTGGTGTTGGTGCCTTTCGAAGGACAGCAGGGCGCTGCTCTATGACCGTATCGTTTGTGGGCGTTGTATTCAAACTCTGTACTTTTGCGGTTGCTTTTCCTTTCACACTCGACTTTTTCGTTTTCTTCGGTTTCTCGAGTTTAAGTCTTAACGTTTGCGGTGCTGACTCTGTCACGTGGCGTATCGGTGATGGTGATTTTATCCTTGTTGGTGGTGTTGTGCAATCGGCAAAGCTTTTTAATTTGCAATTTTATTGAATACGTGTAAAAATGTTACCAGAAATTAGAACAGAATTTACGAAATTTACGAGTAGTTACATATTTTTTGCTTACATTTGCGGTGCACATTAATTTTGTATGGATGAATGCAAATAATTTATAAATAATTGATGATGCGAACACTGACTCACATATATCTTCTTTGCATATTTTAGAATAACATTAATTTTAATGCAGCCAAACCATTCTTTATTAATAACAAGTAAATGCTTTTCGTTTTCTTTTTTTTTTAATAATGGAAATTTCAATATAGTGCATTTTTAAACATGATGTTAGTCACTGCAAATGATGGGGGAATGAGTTATTGCCCGTGGTGAGATGGGCCTGCATCACAAATGATTGTGTATGTATTATTGTACATGTAAGTATGTAGATATGTATATAGGGACTGTGAGCTCTCATAGCATGCTTGCAGGCGTATATTATATGCTAAGACATTCGAATTGAATTTGTGTTAAATTTTAATTAAGTTATTTTGTACATATATATACTTATGTTCTGCCTTGGCCAAAAGTATTAGGCACCCCACTAAATCACAATTATTCTCAAATGTGACTATCAAAGTTACCACTTCTTTTAGTAAATGTCTGACCTCTTGATTAAATGAATATTGTGTAATATTAAAAGTCCCTGGGTATGCTAAACCTAAAAATTGTCATTTTTAAGAAATTCATAAAATATTTTTGCATTTAAAATTTGAAAGTGAAAGTGTAAATTACTTCATCTTTACAGACGACGTTTAAAGACAAGTTATCAATCTTATAAAAACATGCCTTAAAAAAGTGAAATTAGTTACGATGATAGAGTTAGAATTCAAGTTCTAAGTGAAGAAGGTAAGTCTCAGGTTGGCATTGCCAATTTGGTGGGTTGTTCGCGGTGCGCGGTCCAATGTGCTATCAGGCGATTTGTGGAGACGAGATCCCACAATAATAAATCAAAAAGTGGAAGAAAGCGTCTAACTAGTAAACGAGAAGACCGAATACTTGTACGCGAGACTTTCAAAGCTGCCCTTTCGGCTGAATTAAGTAAACCAGTTGACGCTCAAACACCTATAAGAAGTCTTCTGGAAGCGGGTTTTAAAGGATGTAAAGCCCGAAAGAAGCCGTGGCTCTCAGAAAAGAATAGAAAAAATCGTTTGGAATGGGCTAGTCGATACCAACGTTTCACGGAAGAAGATTGGTCGAATGCTTTGTGCTGTGATGAATCAAACTTCGAGATAAGCTTAGTTGAGATCGTCTTAAAGTGTTAACAGCCATAGCTTCTTACCCTAGAAAAATTTTGAAGACATAATACAAATCTTATTGTTTCTTTACCACAGATATTTGGAACGAAAGAATATCATCCAGATTGCGCGGTAACCACTGTTAAGCATGGAGGAGGCAGCATTATGATATGGGGCTGCATGGCTGCTGCTGGTGTTGGCAAAATGTTCGTTTGTGAGGATCGCATGGAGAATGTATGAATGAAGCTGTTCTTCTGCCTTCGTTAACACGTATTTTCGGCGATACTAATTTAGACGGAGTTCAATTTCAGCAAGACAATGCTTCTTGTCACAAAACAGCGACTACGATGCGTTTTCTAGATAGAGATAACAACATTGTTTTGTTTGATTGGCCTTCACAGTCTCTAAGTCTTAATCCCATTGAGCACATGTGGGCTATTTTAAAACGCAAGATTAAGGAACACAGTATAACATCAAAAACTGCCTTAAAGAATGCCTTACTTAACGAGTGGTGCGCTATAAGTGCGGACGAATATGCAAAGTTTGAGAATTGCTGCCGTTATTAAATCGAAGGGTGGACCTACTAAATTTTAATGTTATTTTCACTAATTTATTGTATTTTCACTGTTTAACTAATAAAACGTCATTACTTCACTTGTTAAGACAAAAAATTCAGTAATTAGTGGGGTGCCTAATACTTTTGGCCAACGCTGTATATGTAGATGTCACATAATGTCTTTCATTTTAAAGTCAAAAGCAAACACTTTCTTTGCTCAAACTCTCTTACCAACAACCTTACACGCGCTTTACATGCATACCAACCCTTTGAGCGTTGAAGTTTTCTAATTTTGCCGTTGACATTCCGCATTTTTTAGTGTATTTTATTAAATTTCATTATATGCATAATATTACCAGAGCCTTTCATTCAGCGTCAATTCTCGCCCTCTGCTCTAAACAAAGTGCGAATAAACCTTATACGGCCAACTCAACAAATGCTAAAGTGTAACAATTTATGGAGAAAATAAAAAAAAAAATTAAAAATTGCATACACACATACATTTGTATGTATATGTACATATATCGGCGCACTTGTTGTTGGAATTTTTTTTTTATGCTGCACTTCTTTCGCATTCGCTGGTATCGCCCGCCCGCCGCTGCTATGTAAAGTTAATTTTTAATGTTCTACATAAACTTTTGAATAACTTTTGCCCCTTTCACGCTCTCAAAGGCGGACAGCGGAACAGTCTCAACAGCCAACAGTCAGCAGTCAGCAGTTAGCAGTCAGAAGTCAATTGCAAATGCAGCGCGTGGATATACGAGCAGCAGCAGCAGTGTAGAGGAGTTGTAGGAAACATCACGAAGGTTAAAGGAAAAATTCATGTAATTGCTGTCATGTCAGATGTCAAAGAAAATTTGTAAGTTTACTTTGAGCTTGGAATGGAATGCAGCAGAATTATTTCAATAAGGCGTTGAAAATCGAAAGTGCAGGAAACTGCTATTATTAATTTTATTTTTTTGTGAATTTCAGCACAATTTACATATTCAGAGAAAGCGAAAGAATGACAACGCCATTCAGAACATCAGGTGTAGAGGAAATTGCTGGACGGACTTTGTGTCCCCAAAGGAGTCAAGGCGTAAAAATTGATTATTAAAGGAATACTAATTACTCGCAAAGTAAAGTAATCGCATTTGGTGCGCTAAATTAGATGAAAAAAATTTACGAATTGGTTGAGGACGGCTCTACGAGTATATACTTAGGAGAATTTTACTAAAATGAGAGCGCTGGGGATATGTAGTTACAAGGAATAGTGAAAAACAACAATAATTAAAAGCGGTACACACGAGGCTTAATTAGATAACCAGTGACTCGTGCTGTGGGCATCCCAAGTTGGAACCCTGTTCGAACAAAGTTGTCTGGAAAAAGAAGTCTGTTGAAGAAACGTGGTGGTGCGTGGTCCGAAATGGCAGCTATACCTGCTACCGTACAAAACTATTGTTGTAATTTTTTCTTTTTCTTTTTCAAAAAATATACATAGATGGTCTGAAACAGTTCCATAAAAAAACCAAAAAGGTAAGAAATTTAAATATTGAATATTATAAGAAGATTTCTTGAAGCCAAAGTTTAAATATTGATTTTTTTATAGTTGTTAATTAGAAATGTGAATACTTATATATATTCAAACGTAGTCTCAGATACTTCAAAATTATTTTTTTCTTTTTCATTCATATGTGTTGGAGTATTAAGAGGTGTATGCAGACAGTATTTCAACTCTAAACCAATCCAAATTATATCTATCGATAGATTTTTTTTAATTACTTGGTCGAATATATCAATAGATGCTGGAGAACACCTTAGTAGGAGGTAAACACGGACTGACTACTCGAAGTGGACGGGCACACTGAAAGACTACTACTAATATGATATTAATTTAAGACTACTATATAATACAACCCTGCCAGACTGAATGTAGGCAATACTAACTGAACGAATGAACGAGACGCCTAATAGACAGAAGACCAACCGGACAGTTGCTATTTGAATTTCAATAAATGCACATCTAATAATGTACATTGAATAAAAAATAACAGTGTTTTATTATTCCTACACCTATGTATTGGCTAACGGCAAATTCGAACGTCATGGCCACGAAGGGCAGATGTGCGCTGGAATGCTGTTATTATATCAGCCCTATTCTGAAGAATCTCCCTAGGAGAGTTTTCACTTTTCCCTCTAATCATATCTGAAATAAATAAAAATTTGTGGATTTTTATTTTTTTCTCTTTTCTCACATTCTAAACAAAAAAAGGAGAAATTCCCAGCGACGAATAAAGTTGACATCACCAATGCAAAATATTCGTGAGATTTCAATATTCCGCTAGAGTTTTTTCACATTGAAGTTGTGTGGGAGTTTTTATAAAAAAAAAAATATATGTAAGTTTTTACTAAATATAAAACAAATAATCGTGGTTGCTTTATGCTCAAACAAGTGAGTAAATTGCAGTTGCAGTTGATAATAGAGTTGATGGAAACTCAACCGAGGATTTTTCAAGCGTAATAAGGAGAAGTTGAACCAATTATGGTAGAAGTTGAATAACGAACTGAACATAGGTCAGCTCGTTTCAATATTGGAACATTTCGAAACACCATAGCACGCCAATTACATCCAAATTTATGGCTGCCAAGGATCCCAAACACTCGTCCAAATCAAGTAATAACTTGCGTGTTTAAAAGGTCGATGTTTTCGGTTGATTAGCTCAGAGTTGTGACTTAAATCCTTTCGATCCATAGAATGAAGTCAACGCTGAAATCTCAAAGAAAAAATTGTAAAGAATTTGGACTATAAATAATCTACCGTTCAGAAAACTTGGTATACCTAAAGTCAAGTGTGAAAAACTCTTGTAAAGCAAGAGTCACATTTGTGAAGCCGACATTAAAAATAAAGCCTACAACACAAAACGCCAAAGACTAAAAAGTGTGTAGAGAAAAAACTTGATGAAAACAAATTTTCATTGAACTTTACATTCTTTTTTCAGGTTGTGCCACTTTCAACTTATTTCACCGTCTTCTCCACAATTCGATTATATTTTTTGCGTTATTATTGAATTGAAACGTGAGCTCATTTGACGGTTTAATGTGAGGCATAAACCTTAGCAAGACACCAAAAACTTGTAAGTTAATGATATTTTTAACAACGCAATAGCATAAAAAAGTCGACTTAAAAAGTGTGAAACTATAATTGGCGTTTTGTAACAAATGGAAAGACCTACAGTTTAACCAAGACTTTTTCAATAAATTTGCACATTTCGAACCGAAACTAAGAAATGTAAAAAAAACTCACTTTCCAAACAAACTTTCATGTTGAGAAGTAGTTGTATCACGTGAATATATTTCACTTTTTTTAAAAAAAAAAAAAAAAAAAAAAAAAAAAAAAAAAAAAAAAAAAAAAAAAGTATTTTTTTAAAACGTGGCTAAGAAACCAACCATTGAAATGACGAAGAATCGACGACTGCTCTCAATGGGCAATAATCAGTCAACAGCAACAATAAGACCTAATTCAAAGTGTCTTTTTCATTTCTAAAGTAATGGCATACCAAAAGTTCAAATTTCCAAATTTTGTCTAACAAATAACATAATAATTGAATATATATATTTATGTGTACAATATAAATATGAAGCATAACCTTCACCAATTACCGCGAACCTCTAAGTTAATTATTTACAATGCTTTGCTGTGGAATGCAGAATTCTCGCAAATGAATAGGAAAGCATGAAATAGTTTTCGATCATTTATTTATTCATTTTTTTTTTTTTATTTTTTAACAAACTATTCAGTGTTACTTTCGATAGTAGTATAGTAATATCCTTAGTGTGTAAGACAAAACATACAGATGTTCAAGTGAAATAAAATAAATAAACTTAGAGCTAAACAAGTATGAAATGTGGGTTGTTGTGTTGTTATTATTGTTATTATTATGACTATTTTTTTTTAACTTAGATAAGTATGTGTGCAAAGTGCATTTAAACTTCATAAACGGTTATTTTAAGTAAAATAAGAATAAGAGCAAATGTGAGTGCATTAATTCAAACCAGACAATCAATCAAGCAAGCGATCAATCAACAATGACTTTCATATTTTTCATATATATATATTAATTTATTGTATTTGTGACAAATCGTACGAGTATGTGTGTACATACATATACGCATAGGTATGTTTTTTAATATTTTTTTTTTTATTAAAATGCACAATATTTTCGTTCTTCAAAAGAAGTAAAAAAGAAGTAAAAGAAGTAACAAGAATAACAGCTGATTTAGTGCTAAGGTAAAAAATTAAAGGTGAAAGTGTAGTGTAGCAAAAACGAAACACAGTAATTTGAAAATTTAAAATTTGCAGAAATTTTAGTATTGAGTTTATGGCTGCCAAATGAATATTTCTATTTTGTTTTGATTTAATTTGGAATTTACAGTGTGTTTTTGGCTCTTTTTTTTTATTTAAATTAATTATTGAAGCAGAATATTTAGCTGCCTAAAAAACTCACAATTTCCATGTCGTTTCGTTTGTTTAATTGTTTGCAGGTTTCGCTCAATGATTGTTGTTGCTTAAAATTTTTTTTTTTAGATTTTATTGTTAGAACTGTACTAAACATTTCACTTTATCATATGAAAATAAAACCTATGCTTGCGTCAGATAAGATGATTAATTTTTCAATACGCTGCTGCTTGAGTAAAATTAAGTTATTATTCAACTTTGTGTAGAGGAAATATTCATACAATAGTTATTAAAAGTGTATTATTAATGATTTTTTTTTTTTTTTTTTGATGTACTTAGGAATTAATTTAATATACAAATACATACATATATACTTAGAAAAAGGTTACGTACAAATATGTATATTTGTGTGTGAACACATTTTTTTTTTAATTTTCAGATTTTAAGATTATCAATTGAAATAACAGTGAATTTAACAACATTCCAACACCATTCCTTTCCGTATGCATACATACTTATACAATACGACGCATGTGTGTCTATGTATACATGATGTGTTTATAAAATATTATTATGTGCCTTTTAGAATACTTTTTACGTACGCTTAATTACATTTAGTTAGGTTATTATAATATCTTCACAAGTGTATATAAAAATAGATAAGCGTTTAAAATGATAGAAATTCGAATGAAAAATATTCGATTATTAAGTTTTTCGGATATTTTATAAATAAATAAAATTTCGTAGTTTGTTTATATAAAAAAAGTTTGGCATCTTCAATTCTTCTTTTCGTCTTAGTATTAAATTAGTGACTTAAATTTAATTGCGATAAAACTTTTGTCGTATACCTAATATAATATATATATAGGTGTGTGTGTTATATAGAGTTATAAAACAAGTGTAATAATTATAATATAGGATTAGCTTCTAAATACTGCTTCAATTTCTTCAAGTGGATTCCTGGAAAAATGGAATGGAAGGAAATAAAGTGGTAAAAGTTAAAATGCAGAGGGAGGAAGACGTGAGTAAGTGTGTAAGGAGAATAAATTATTATAGTTTAAGAAAGTATACGGTGTAAAGGTGGATTTATTACAAAACACAATGCATAAAAAAAATCAAAATCTATTGATTTTCATTCTCCTCAAAAATTAAACTCGTATTTAATTGTGCCTTTGGGAAACGAAATAAATTTAGTAACCACGATGTAAATTTTGAAAGCGAAAAACTTACATCTCATTTCACTGCCTTTAAAACAGTTTGCAACAGCATAAGTTGCTGATTACTTGAATTATACAAACAAAAACGAACGAACCTCAAGACGAATTTTTTTTCTTTACAGTTCTAATCTGTGCGTATTTTTAAGGTAATTGAACACCTTTCCATTATTTAACATAACAAAATTATTTATTTAAAAATTTGGCTTGACCATTCAACTAATGTTAGTTTATGCGATTTTTGCAAATTTAAAGGGTTTTCCAATTAGAGGTGTTATTTAGAATAATCCGCTATTCCGTTAGTTATCACTTTTGAAGCTTCCACTGTTTGAGATTTGGCAAGTAACAAAAATGGAACGCATTGAAATGATTAAAACTCATTATAAAAACGATGAAAACCTGGGGTCGAATGGAGCGTGCCGTCAACGTAAAAGTCGTAAATTTAAGTATTTGGAATTACGCCATACGTGAACGTTTACCCGTTGTCGTAATTTTGGTATGATACGTTCGGAAAAGCCATACTTTAACGAGTATTTCTTTAGTAAAAAAAATAATCAATTATATGGCTGATGTTGTTGATGTGGTAGAACACTCGCCTGTTAAATCAGGATAAGTTGGTTCGATCCCTGCCATAAGATGTCTGATGAGGAGATGTGTTGATCTCCGAAACAGCTGTCACTTCTACCATTTTTCTTTGTTTTATAACAAATATTCAATTCATACAAACAACCAGGCCTGGTAGTTTACCTGATACTTATATCAAAAAAATTACTTTATAGCATGGCCGCAAAAACAAGTTACATATAATTAATTTATTTTAAAATATTATAAAAAATATTGTTGAATTAATAATATTTTTGGACAAATATAAATGAAATTTACGCGGCACAAAAGCAGTTCATCGCTGAATTTATGCAGTCACATCTAAATTTAGCAAAAAAAAAACTTCTTTCCAAGGTCCACAGGTCAAAGCAAATACTTGGCCCGCCAGTTAAGGATATCAAAACGTGGAAGAAAGTATACAAACATACAAACATACATTTTCCTTTAACTCGAAATTTTTTTCAATGTTATATCTTAGGTATACGCTGATCAAAAGTATGAGGCTAAAAAGAAACTTGCAAGTTCCCTTAATCGCCTCCTTACAATTCGTTCATCGACATTACTTTCATCGAAAGATAAACAAAAAAGTCAAAAGCCGGCCATAATTGCTTTTATTTGACAAAACACATAGTATTTGTGGACAGCTGATTCAAAAATAAAATATGAAGATGGAATCTTTTACATTTTTAAAGAATTACGATCCGTTTGCTTTCGTTTGGCATCATCTTACCAATAATTTTATCCGATTTACGTATCACGGAATTTTGTACGAATGCTGATACGTTTACGGAACGCACGCTTCGACCTCTGGCAGAGTCGGTTTGTAAAGCTTAAACATTTTTCGGTCGTCGTGAAGCACTTTGTCGAGTCGCAATTCAGAAATTGGACAAAAATTAGTTATGTGAAGAATAAAACACGTGCAAGTCGCTCAAGAATAATTGAAAATATTGCTGCTGAATCCAAACCGGATATTTGTCCATTCCTCGCCTTTCTTTGGAAACGTCATAGCACCGTATTTTAAATAAAGTTTGGTGTGTTTTAAGTTTTAAAAAGTTCAGTAAACACAAGAACCCAAGCTGGCCGATCATCAACGAGGTTGCGTCTTTGCTAATTAGGCCCTTGAAATGCATGAAAATTCAACGGATGATGACTACGTCAATAAACAAAACTGTCGCATCTGGGGCTCAAAAATCCCAAGAACTATTTTTCAAAAGACTCTACATCCTCAACCGGTAACTGTGCACTTTGCGCTTTATTGCGTAAATGAAGCTGGAGCAACAGTTATCGCGAATGGATCGAGAGATAATTAAAGATTTATATGGTATTGATCTGGGCAATGTTTACTTTCAACGAGACGGCCTTGTTAAGTCGCGAAGAGGTGATCTGAAAAGGCCACAGCAATCTTACGAATTATCCCTTTTAGATCACGTGAAAGAAAAGATCTACGCGAAAAGGCCAACATCGATTCAAGACCTCAAAGATGGAATTCGTGAAGCTATTAAACCCACTTAGGGATTTGGTGATGAAAAATTTCTTTAAAAAAATACGGTCCCGTCAACGTAGCCATTAGGCCGATACTTTCTTCCATTATTCATAGCATATCTTGTTCTTTACATAGAAATAAACAACCGATCATTTAGCTCAAAAAATGCCATTTTTCTTAGAACATCAAAATAACAACTTTTCTCTTATTGGAAAACTCTGAATAAGAGTTCTTAAGGGGAAATTGTTACAAATCGAGGTGAAATGCATAGGAAAAGATTTAAAAAAAAATTGCGATATTTTTTTTTACATTTTATTTGGCTTCAAAAAATACGTATGAATTTTCAAAATAAAAAAATCCCTAAAGCGTTTGTTAAGAAACGGAGGGAAGCTTTGTAACCGCTGCGGCAATTTTCGGCCGAGATTCTCTTCCAATTTTTTTGGGTCTTGATGATTTTCCAACAAATGGAGAGTCTTACATTTTAAACTAAACCGCCTCTGAACGGCTGATGGTTTTTTTTACGAGGAGCCTTTATTTCCTGTCAAAAATACTCTCCGAAGAGTTGACATTCTCTCTCGGCAGGGATCACAATTAACTTAATTTTTTGTTTAAATTAATTTTTCTATGATCTTTTATTCAAAATTACGCCTGTTAATTTTAAAGCACAACTTTCAACAAACACTTAATTTTAAAAGAAACGGGCATATTTCGTTTAATATTTATATTGGAAACCCATATTAGCTGTGAGGGACATAATAAAGCACACGAGCAAAGGATAAGATAGCATAATGAATTTCTCATTATTTTTACTTATTGTTATTGTTGTGATTTGGAGTGGTAAATAACAGAGCTCACACCGAGTGCGTTTTGCTACTGGCAAAATATTAAATTACCTTGCCTTTTACCATACAAAGTTACTTTTGTAAACAACGGTCATAGCAACGACCAAGCAGCACGGTTGCACAATGTTGTTAACAAGAGAGAGAGAGAGATAGAGCGAAAGAGGGAGAGAGAGATTTTAACAAAAGCAAAATAACGAAAAAAAAATAACACCGAAAACCCTCAACGAAATCACTTTGTTTACACGGGTGTTAACGTTCCTCTCGGTCGCGATGTTTTGCAAAATATTCATAAACCATAAAAGGCAGGTCGTGAATAGCCTGCAGCCGCATATTGCGAAAACAAAGTGGTCAAGACGAGTTGCTAAAGGGCGGTGGCAGGCAGTTAATGCACGTTTCGCTGATTTGGTTCTTAAATGCATGACACAAACATGCATGCCGTTTTGTAATCAAATTCTTTAATTTCAAATATACCTTTTCGGTTTTTTCTTTTAATAACAAGAAATTTCCAAATTTTACAGATAAATGCATCTATCTATTGCCTTACCACCTATAACCTATATAAAAAATTCCAAGATGACTTCCATTACCGGCTCAATAGGTATGTAAACAAGCAAAATTTTCACATTTAGTATGAAGAGCAAAGTTGAAGGGACTCAAGAATTTGCCATTTCATCCAGAAAAAACAACGGTTTGGTGAGGTTTGTGGGACGGCGGAATCATCGTGTTCGCGGCGCAACTTCTCACACATCGCATCAATCAATGGATTTATTGGGAGAACACTTTGGTGAGTAGATAATTTCACGTTTTTGGCTGGTGTAATATCACACCGTTCGACTTTTCCTGTGGGGATATGCAAAGTCTACGGTCTATGCGAGCAATCTCGCTTCGAATCAGGCCTTGCAGCAAAACATCACGCGTCTCATTTGTCAGCTACAAGTCAAAATGCTCGAACCAGCCACCGAAAACGGGTCTCAGCTGATAGATCAGCTAAGACGCACCCGCGGCTAACATTTGAGAGAGTAGCGAACCTCGAAATGGTACACTTTTCGGTAATGATCGTTTAAATGTAAAGATACATCTGTATATCGAGTTTGGTTAAAACATCTCAAAAACGGAAGGACTAATTTGTTTACAAAGAGGCGAACATAGCTAAATAACCCCAGCTAGTTATTCTCAGCCGAGTGATTGCACACAACGCGACAAAACACTTAATGCCAAAAATGAATCCACAAAGATAACAAACTTCTTCACCTGGTACTTTCTCAACGCTTGCTAAGCTAACGTGCGTGAGAAGGCCATAGGGGCCTAAATGCATTTCCACTCTTGTAGCATATCAGCTTTACGGAACTTTTGGAAAAGTATTTATTTTACTATCTTTTTATATTTAATGATTTCCATTTGCAATAAACAAAATTTTTTTCTTATTCTCGTTGCACATTTCACTTTCCAGTTAAGAAAATGTAAAGGACAATAGGACCACTCTCCATTATATGATTTATAATATGATTTCAATCGAACGGCAAGCATTAATTTAGTTCGATAGAACTTTTATTAGATGTCTTAACAGCCCGATTCTTAATACTCGAGGGGAATTTTTTTCCATCGGAAAATGTTTCTCGAGAAATAAAAAATGGCAGTTTTAATTCCGTAGAAGAAGCTGATTTTCGAATTTCAACAAACCGTAGTTTGTCAGTTTATTACACTCAAAATAAGTTGCAAATTAAATAAAACAATAACAATTTCAATAAAATTCATTTAAAACGTGAAATTGATTAAAAAAAAACCGCATAGTATGGTTTAATATTAGCGGCAGAAAAGGCGCCTCTTTACCTCAAGGGCGCAAAACCTCTGGAGGTCAGTCAAACCTTGCAAGCACAAATTATTACACTTTACTTTTAAAACACCGCTTTTATGTATTTACAGATTTTAGAAATACTACGAGGGGTTACATAGGTCTCGAAGGCCACAAAAAGCTTATCTTCTCAATATTTTTTTTAAAAGATACTTAATCAAGTATACAATTCATTTTGTTTACATAAAAAAGTACAATATTTGATGATTTGATGAAAATTTGAATGAAAAAGAGTATAAATTATGGCGTTGGCATTGTCATGAAGTAGATCGTCCATAAAGTGCTTTCACGGTAGTCATGTTAACTTTTTCAATTTTTATCTGAAATCCAAAATCATATTTTTTTCTTAAAATAGTTGAATTTTCCTTGTCCCTAAACCAAGAAATTTAAAAAAAAAATTTAATTTTTTTTTTTATACAAAAAACGTAATTTTTTTTGCATAAAATTAGGCTTGTAAAATGAATTGAAATCAAAGACAAAGTAAAACCTTCGTTCAGGGACTACAAAAACATGCTTAAAAGAAGTGTGGAAAATTTGAACTCGATCGCTTCAATAGCCGTTGAGAAATTTTAACTACCGATTTCGATAAAGTGATTTTAAGAAAAACGCGTTTAAAGTTTCGTCTTCGGTCAAGCAATGACAAAGACAGCGAGTTATAAAACTCTCTAGTTTCTACAGTTTCGTCTCGATCGACTTGAAACTTGGGTAATATATCCCTGACACTTTGTACTTGTATACAAAAATTTATCAAAAAAATAATTTTTTTGAAGTTTCAAGACCTTTGTAACCCCTTAAGAGTGAATAAGCCTGCATTCCAATATTATTTGCATGGCAAAGAAACAATTTGCACTTTCTCAGCAGCTGAAGTTGACTGCTCTTTTAAGATTTTTTGATGAAGGCGCTTGCCAAACTAGGGTAAGCAAATATTCTATTGTAGTGTGTCTCTTGCACAGTCGATGTTCAGCAAAGTAGCTCCGAAAGTGCTGAATACTTCTGAGAAACATTAGTGCACGAAGTGGACAAAAGTTGCTGGGAAAGAAGACGAAAAGCGTAAAATTACCGTTGCATTCCCGTCGTTATTAATTTAAATGTAAAAAAAACTTGTCTTAAAAAAGGAGATGTTGGATATCCTTTAGAACCATAGCTCTTAGCTGCGCATAGAGCTCCAGAAGAAGGAACAACAAATCAATTTCTTCTAAATAACAAATAAAAAATGTTAAAGTTTAAAGAAAACTTATATTTTTCATTATTCTCCCTTAAGGAAGGGTTGCTGAATAATTCTGCAGTCTAAGTTTTCTCTTCGATTTTCATCGTACTTTTTCCGCACAAAAAACTCCCTTTTCGAACTTCATTGAGAATTGAAGAAAATTGATAATGGAGATGTCATTGAGAATACGAGAAAAGGGAAAGGAGAAATTATTTTTCTTTTCAATGGAAATATCAACGAATTGTGTACCCAAGCCAGCGCAATAAAATTTTTTTAAGCTGACCTTTACGGTTTTTCTAAATACTGAAAAATTTATTGTCAATTTCTTTTAAGTGAAACTGAGTGGAAAAAAATTTTCGACATTTTATATGATAATATTTGTAAAAGTAACGCTAAAGGTTCGTATTTGTTTAACACAAACGCAAGATATGCCAATAAATATAAACAGATTAATACTGAAATAACACAGTTGGGAACGCCTCAGGAAGTGTGGGATACAATTGAAATAATAGTTCTATAGAAATTTCCTTACATAATATAAAAATTTCAAATTGTATATCTGTATGTAAGTACAATAGTAATATTTAAAGCTAGTAATAGTTTTTTTTTAAATCCTACTTTTATATGAACTATTTAAATATGTAAAATGAATTAAAAAATTGTAAATTTTAACGTTTCGAAAATGCCATTTTATAATTCAAAAATTATAAAAAGTTCGTTGTTACTGTATATTTGTATCAAAACGTTTAGATGCGATGCGTAAATGATTGGTGAGTGGTAGTACATAGCACAGTCGAAAGAAAAGAGAACAACAAACCACAGAAAATTAATGTTAAAGCAAAAACGATTTATCCAAGATGAAAATATTTTCAAAGATAAGGAAAATAATGCCAAGATTACATATTAAACTGCCAAACCCCATTCAAAAAGCACAATTAAATCCGTGTTTAAAGCAAATAAAAATAGAAAAAATACGAAAAATGCATATTATATAATATAATAAATACATATGTATGTGTATATAGATAATATAATTAATACAAGTATCATAAACGATGCCACATGACTTAAGCATTTTGTGTGAAATGCATTTCAATTACATTATTATATTATTTGATGTTGAATTATTATTATAATTAGATTGCATTAATAGTATTATGTGCATTTATTTATGGTACAAGTATACATATGTATGCTGGTGTGTTTGTGTATATTTGAAGCATTAAACTTTCACCAAAAGCATTAATAACAAATAAATCGAACAAAAGCCAACTTCAATTTGAAGAATCAGATGTAAGAAATCAACAATAAATATGCAAATGACCACACATCTCCGCACATCAACGCACATGTACACGCGCTCATTGTCATTTGACGCTTCGCAATTCATCAAAAATATAATATATATATATACATATATGTGTTGGTGTGCGTTGACTGTTTGGCGCGATATTCGATTAAATCTCTAATCCAAATCATATCTCATTGGCATTGTGTGGCATCATAAACTCACCTCATATCATCCACATCACAATTATCCCGCCCGACGATGGTGTCGCGGAGTACGTGACGGTGGTCAACTACAAGTCGCCTACCATCGTCCTCATAATCATAATCCTCCTCATCATCATCATCCGGCTGCACTTTGTGATGTTCGCCAGCAAGGCACGGTATGGTGGTGGTGGCAGCGGAAGCGGTGGCAGAAGTAATAGAAGAATCATACTCATCGTTTCCATTTGATTTCTTATCACGACGGAGCGTTGCAATTTTCCTTTCTTCTTCTTGCTTTAACTTTTCAACTTCATCCTTTGACAGGAAGGAAAAAACTTTCTCTATTTATTTTTGTGAAGACAATAAAAGAAATACAAACAAAAATTATTTAGAAATAGAAATAGAAAAATATTATAAAATAAGCCATGAAAATGGGCGCATACAAAAATGCAGAAAAGTGAAAGGCATCGTTTGTTCTAGAATACGAAGATAAATAGAAATATTTACAATAATCTTCAAAATGATTACAGTTTTTTATTACAAAAGTCAGTATCAAACAAATATTTTTTAACGGTGCCTGCTTTTTTTTATTTTTGAATGAATTAATTTATGAAGCTAGTAAACCTACGCATTTTGTTTTACTTCTTGCCATAGTGTATGCAATGTACTCTCCTCTAATCCTCTCTCCTCAAATCCTCTATGTGAGTCAACTAGCATAATCTATCCTGCATACTGTGACCTCAGCGTGAAATTTAATATATTGTAATTTTTATGCTTCCATAAATACGTCCAAAAATTCAAATTTTAACATTAATTTTCAAGATTCTTTTCAGATAATTATAAATACTCCTCAATAAATGACATCCCTGAGATTTTCGCTCATTTCAATTTCTAATTGCCAATACTTTGAAAACTTAATGCCGAAGAGTTCAATTCAGTATTCTATAGGAAAACATACAACAATAATGGATTATAAGTAATCATATTCGTTCACCAAATAATATACAGCCTTGGCCAAGAGTATTAGGCACCCCAAATACAAGTATTCTCAAATGTGGTTATCAAAGTTACCACTACTTTTTGTAAATATCTTACATATGTGTTTAACTGTTGATTAAAGGAATAAATTGCGTAATATTAAAAGTCATATCTCTCTCAGTAAGCTAAACCTAAAAATTGTCATTTTTAAGAAATTCATAAAATATTTTCGTATTTAAAATCTGAAAGTGAAAGTGTAGATTACTTTATCTTTACAGATGACATTTAAAGAAAAGTTACTAGTCTTAAAAAAACAGCTCATATTTACCGAAATGCCTAAAAATGATAGAGTTAGAATTCAAGTACAAAGTGAAGAAGGTAAGTATCAGGTTGACATTGCCAATTTGGTGGGATGTTCGCGGTGCGTGATCCAATGTGCTATCAGGCGATTTGTGGGGACGAAATCCCACAATAATGAATCAAAAAGTGGAAGAAAGCGTACCAGTAAACGAGAAGACTGAATATTTTTACTCGAGTCTCTTAAGTATCGCAAAAAATCTTCTTCTGCTCTTGCAGCTGACCTTTCGGATGAATTTAGTAAACCAAGGCTGGTGGCATCATTGGGCGGTACTTCTTCAGAGATGATGCGAATCGTAACGTAAGTGTGAATGGAGAGTGCTACCGTGAAATGATATCAAACTTTTTTTTTACCAAAATGCAAGAGCTTGACTTGCATGGCATGCTGTTTCAACAAGATGGTGCCACATGCCACACATGCCACACAGCAATGGACTTATGGAGAGGCGTGTTCGGCGATCATTTTATTTCACGTTCGCGATCGGTCAATTGGGTGCCTAGATGGTAAATATTTTAAGCCTTTAGACTATCTTTTGTGGGGTTATGTTAAATCTAATCTCTATACAGACAAGCCTGCTTCATTTTGACGCATTGGTGAACAACATTGCAGCATTTATTCGTGAGATACCGGCCGCAATGTTTTAAAGAGTATGCCAAAAATGAACTAAGGATTCGGATGGACCATTTGAGGCGCACGCATGAAATAATCTTCATACATTAACTTATGTGGATCGTACTATCGATTGAACTAAAGATTTCTAGCATTTTTTTTTTTTTTTTTTTTTTTTTTTTTTTTTTTTTTTTTTTTTTGAAAAACATTGCTATAACTTTCAAAAAACGACATTTCTAGACTGCTTGAACGGCATACGATTTTCCCACTGTTACACACGTTGTACCATCTGTGATGGTTTGAGAATAAGGTATTTGAATTTTTTTGATGGAATAATAAATGCTAACAAATATATGAACATATTAAAACGAAAAAAAAAACACTTAAAAAGTTATGCCATTAGTAAGATTCAGGACTACAAACGAGAATGGGATAAGTCCAAAAACTCACAAAAAAAAAAAAACAAATTTATGAACTCGAAGTCACGTTCGTTACATGCAGTGTCAAGACAAGACAAAGAGGATATCCAGCAAAATATTAATTTTAATATACCACTAATTTTAATTTGGTATAAATATGAACTCTGCTGTTAGAAATTTTTAAGTTTGCCTAAAACACGCAGTTTTTTCCGAAATTTTAATTTGTTTAATAATATATTTGAAATGGCACAAAAGTTGTTTATACTTAATTGATACTATTTCCTTTATCTACAAAGTCGGTAAAAAATATACGGTGTTTGTGGAGTGATTGGTAAGCAAGAAATTATATTATTATTAATAACAAATATTATTAATAATTAAAATATGAAATAATGCTACAGTTGCGCTGTCATCATAGCCTAGCCAAAAATATTCACCAAGAGTCCTAAAGAACAGATAGTATGCACGAAGCGAACGGCATGCTGATGTCAAGTTTAATATCGTTCCACCAAATTCCTTCCGCAACCCATACTAACTGGAAGTATACTATCTGTAGATAGCCGACCTTCTAATACTTTCCTTCAACCCGCTCAGTCGCCACATTACAAGTACTACGAATAGTCATAAATCAAGATAACAGCGAAATTATTCGGCTTCGCAGAGCTGCAAAACAGCACTGCCGCCGTTGCTGTCGCATACAATAAGAATTTCTTATCTTTATTTTGAACTTTATTCTGTCCTCTTGACTTTCTGGTGTGTACGATTTATTTTCTTTGATCTTTTTGCAAAATAAAATATTGTTTTCAAAACAAAAAAGTTTTCATGAACATTTTCTTCTTTGATAGATAGAGTGTGCTTCGGATTCTTTCATTAATATACAGACTACTGTAAAGCGCGAGATTTTGGCTGTGCTGAAAATATCATACATATGTACATAGAAGAATATTGATTGTCAAGTTTTTCTATTTAAGATGCAATGATCGCTTAAACTCATAAGAAATGAAAAGTAGACTTTATTTATTTACAACTAGTTTACTCAAACTAAACTGTTATACTGAAAATATATATATATATATATATATATATACGACGATATATATA